GGGGGTCATTTTTTAAAACATAATGTAGTTGTTTTTAGGCCCCAATCGACATAATTTAGCTTCCGCCCTGCCTCTCAGGGATGAGAGGTATACAACATCCCTGCAGAAAGATAGATCGAGGTACTCGATAGAAAAAAAATCTCCTCATTTAGTAATTGAACTCAGGCCTCATGTGTACGATAGAAAAGCGTCTAACCGCAACCGCAACGCAAAGACGAAATGGTACAGAAATGGAAATCAGTGCACAAGGCAGCTTGGAAAGGTGACATAGCCTACATGTACAAGAAGAGACCAAGGCAAGGGAACAACAGAACAACACAGAAGGGAACGATAAAATAAAAAGGCGTAGGTGACGATAAAAGAAGAAAAAAAGAAACACACCAAACCACTCCTACTCCTGAGCGGACATCAAGATACAGTCGTTTGCCTATTGGGCAAAGCACATCAGGCCATAGCTATGGAAGAATAATAGAGCAGGTTAGCACACTATATGCACACACTTCACTTGTGATAATTCAAGCCCAGATCGTTTTTCCGTCGAGCTCAATACTTTGCTCTTCGTAGAACTACACATTACAAAAAATACAAGTTAAATACTTCTCGGGAATAAGCAGGTCGAGAAGCAAAAATAACCCCGACGGCAGAAAAGAAGGAGGGCAAACAATCCACAGTATGTTCCCCCCTGCTCATTAAGTACCGTACTGCTATCGATCCTGCGTCGGGCCAAGAAAACAGACATTGCTTTTAACTCCAGCAGAATGGGTTGGGTTACGGTACTATTTCTCGGGAGTTCACAATTTGCTCGGCTTACGTGGGACGTTTTACAGCTTAACTGACTCGTGGGTCACTACCCTAGATTAGATAAAAGTAAAAGCTATGGTCCTGTGACAGTGGAAGGTGTGTCGAAAGGTGGGGATTCTCTGTCCAATCAGCGATCAGCAAGCTTATTCATTGAAGTCTTTACAGCGTTATCTTTCTCTCTGCACTTCTAGAGGTCAGACAGGGACAAAATTAAATAAAGAGTCACTCAATCAACCTGGAAATATTTTCAACGGCTCAAAAAGCGTGCATGGGAATGATGAACGAGCTGATATGAAAAGGTGTCATCAGACCGGCATGTAAATATGAATAGATAGAAATGTCATTCTTTGAACAGTCTTACCCATTTCATTGGTTGAAAATATTATTCACCAAAGAGGGACCATAATAATACGGTCGACCCGATTGACTCTCCCCCTCTCTCTCTCTCCCTCTCTCTCTCTCTCTCATATAAGCGTATTGTAATATTATATTTACTTACACTTAGAATGAATGTTCAACACAGACGAGACGGTGCTCTCAAAGAAAAAAAACCCCACAACCAGTAGAAAACAGACTCATAACACATACACGTATCTCGACGGCAAATTGTTTAAAGTCTCATGACAGTGGGCTAAACTTCACATACGGTAATGTAGAACTAAAGCGAATTTTCAAAAGTATTCAGCACGCTATATTAATATGCTGCTTCATTGAACAACAAACATTAGATTTCAATTCAAAACTACCTCAACTCACTGAGCCGAAAGAGGGGG